TATATATATATATATATATATATATATATATATTGAGTTCTTTAAGCTTATACAAAACTTTTGGTGAAGTAGGATTTTTGTATTATTTATTATAGCATCTACCCACACATTTTTTTTAAGTTAATAACCCGGACAAAGGACGGGTTCCTCAGCTTGTTGGGATATAAAACAAACATAGAAGTATTTAAAATGGAAATTACTTAGAGACTGCATGGTCATAATTGTTTCTCTGTTTTTCAACAGCTTCCGACATAAAGCGACTTATGTGCTCTGTTTTTACATATTGTTAACTTGCTTAACTTGATGTTCATAATTTTTCAAGCGAACAACTTACGCTATTAAATACCACCACCTGCAGCTTAGTACCTGTAGATAAACTGGGCCCTGGCATAATCAGCTGAGATCGGTGTTAAACCTTTGTACGATACCTTTACACAATGACAAAGACAGTATGCCTTTGAATAATACAAGTCTAATCGGGTAAGAAGAAATTATATATGCGCATATAATTATACGCATGAAAAATCATAAGATCGTGTAGTTGTTTATCACGTCACTGGTCTTCGGATTGAAGTGCAAAGAGCTAAAACAATTATGAGAAATATCAGCCACTTAATAGCTGACACCGGAAATGCTAGAGATTACTATAAAATATCCTCAAAGATCATCATCAAGATAAAATAAATATAAATTCTTCCGGGTTTTACGATGGAAAACGGGTAAAGTGTTTAGCATAAAAAATTATAAGGTGTTTAGTTATAATGGTTAAATTACGCGTCATATAAAATAATAAGAAAACTATTTATAATAATTTAAAAAGTGTTCGATTAAACTCCTTTAGAGATCTTGAATGGTAGTATTGGGAGCCTTATCCCCACACAACTAATTACCGTTCTTTCCGAGTTGTCATTGTCTCAGTCCAGTTCAATATTTCTTTTGAAATATTATTTGTATGTTTGTAATTAAGCACAAAGCTACACAATGGGCTATCTGTGCTCTGCCTACCACGGGTATCGAAATCCGTATTTTAGCGTTGTAAGTCCGTAGACATACCGCTGTGCTACTGGGGGGCTTTGAAATATTACTCATGTACTTAATTCTTTGTTTTCATGAATAAGATTAATACCACAAGATGGTAAAAGTGAGGTTTAGGCTACCCGGTGTTTTAGACAGTATTATTGTGAATAAATATAATGCCAATTTTTTCTCCACACTTTTTACAGTATTTAAATTTTTCTGAATATGGTCATCTGTATTTCTGTGATTTTAGGCAATTTTCTTATAATTTTTTAATATTTTGTGAATTATAATTGGGCGCGAATTGCAATATTGAGTGACGAACTCTAGTCTATGTTAACAAATGTATCGAACATATTCTAAAGAAATGAAGGTTTTGTATTTAATCTCGTCAAAACTTGCAGGTAATTTCTAACATTAATATAAAAAAAAAAAATTGCACGAGCTTTGAAAAAAGTAAAAAGAAGATTTTACTGCATTCCTTCAAAAATGATGATGATTGATGTGCCATAGTATAAATTCATTTAAGCTACGATTCATAAAAGTATTAAAAGTCACGTATAATACAGGAATTTCCCAGGGAAAAGGTTTTATTCTTTTCTTACATATACGATTTTTCTCAATATGAATGGTAATTTATAGTCACAATACTGAAAAAAAAAAAAACAGTATAATTAGTTTTCTGACATACCCCTGATCAGGAGATCAGGGACTAATTAAAATCACTGTTAAAAACCGGACACATGTTAAGCATATTCCTGAGTATCATGAACTATTATTTCTGGATATCAGACACTGGTTAAAAGCACTCCTTGAGACCATGAACTAGTCCTGGACATCAAGCATTTGTTAAGCACACTCCTGAATGTCATGAACTAGTCCTGAGCACCAGACACTTGTTAAACGTACTCCTGAATGCCACGAATTAGTCCTGGGTACCAGACACTAACTAAACATGCACCTGAATTAATCATGCTTCTAGTTCTGCGTCAAGGTCAAGCCCCTCTTATGCCGAGATAACACATAGGAACTGGAGCTCAACTCCGACTTTTAAAGGCACAAGAAGATGAAAACGGTGATATATATTATTACGTCTCCGTTCGTTAGTTAATTTTCCGTAAAAATTCTTTCCGAAGAAACTTTACCGATACAAGTCCTTTATTAAAGTCGCCCCCCAGTGGCACAGCGGTATGTCTGCGGACTTATAACGCTAGAAACCGGGTTTCGATAC